CTGCACAGCTCCATCAGCTGAAAGCAAAACCCTCCCAAAGCATCTAAGGAAGAGGACGAGGGACCCGAAAACAGCTGGTGGCGGGCACGTTTTGGTGGTTCTCGGCCATTCTTCGCCTCTTTCGAGCCGCGCGGAAATTGCTCCCGCTCCAGAGCCATCGTGTGGGGTGCTGGAGCTGGTGCTCGTGACACAGAAGAAGTATTTAAAATTTAAATTCTACCTTGAGAAACTCCCGGCTCTGCAGGTGAAACCGCTGAGGGAGCTGCTCCTGATGGCAAGAGGGATGCTCAGGGCTGGACGCGCACCGGGGTGGCCCCAAGGGAAGAGCATCCTGCAAGAAGCTCGGTGCCCTCCACCCTACAGCCAAAATGGGGAAAAAAAAGCAGAAAATGGCTGCAGTTGCAATTCAGCCAAGATGCTGAGCTGAGTGCAGGAAGGCAGGCGACCTGCTGGGTTAAAAGCCCATCGCCTCGCAGCCACTTCCCAGGCGTGAAGTGGAGCTGGAGCCCTTGCACCAAGGCAGCAGATTGTCCTCACCGCCTCCACCGGTGCCACCGTGCCCTAAAAGGACAGCAGCGATCCAGAAACCTGCTCCTGCCCAGAGCAGCTTGCTAGGATTAGGCAGGTTTTCGGTAGCATATCAGACTGACAGCTCCTACAGGTGGATATCTTCAAGCTGCTTGCAAGCCTGTTTCCCTCTGCAGGCAAAAATAAAAACAATCTGCTCGTATCTCCAAACAGAGACCTTAAATTGCTCTCTGAGTTGTTTTTATCTTACCTCCATTTCCAGTTAAAAAAACAAAAACAAGTGAGATTTGAAATTTTTTACATTTAATAAATCAAATTTTGTGTCCAGTAACGACTTTTTAGGGGAAAAACCACAGTGTTCCGGACTAAAACTTCCCCCATCTGCAAACGCTCGTGCTCCAAGAAATGAGGAAGAAGAAGGAAAAGGGGAAGGGAACCTAAAAGGAAAAATTACGGGCTTTGTTCACCAGCCACCACCCCGCCACGGCGTGTTTCCAGCCCTGCAGACAAAGGGAGATGCCCGTCTGCAGCCAGGGAAGGAGCCCAAAGGCTCTGGGGAGGGCTGCGAAACTCCAGCCCGCGCCAGGGAGGCCTCGGCACAGCTCCCGTAATAACTCCTTCCCCTAAACGACTTTGCAACTCGGCGCTTATCGGCTAAATTAAGCATTAATGAAAAATAGAACAATTTGTTTGCGGATTCTCCAGGTTTTCCAGTAATAAAGATTACTAATGCTTCATTTTGGGGCACTGGTTGGCTAATTCAAACTTCTTTTTTTTTTTTCTCATTACGCAGACAATTCATTTAATTCGAAGAGGCCAGGTTCTTTCTAATTTTATTAGCGTTTGGCCCTTCTCCAGCTCGTCTTAATCAAAACGCTCATTATTTTTTTTTATTTTTTTTTTTCCCCTGCCTGTTGAAGCTAATCTAGCTATTATATGGCCGCTAAATTGGGAGCAGAAGGGAGAGTTTTGTTGCTACCAACCAGCTGCATCGCCCCGCGCATCCCTGCTGCTCCGCGAGAGTTTGTGCTGAGCAAACCGAGGAGCTTTGCTTCCGAGGGGGGACAGCTGTCGGTGCTTTTCCCTTTTTTGAGGAGTTTTTTTTGCACTTTGATTGCTTTCTAAGTGTTGGTTTGGACACTGGCAACCTCGCAGCTGAAACGAAGTCAGGAGTGATGAGGGGAAGGAAAAGTCCTGCAAGGAGAGGAATCGAGGAGCCAAACTTTGCCAGGATACACGAAGAGCAGAAATAAGGGGTGATGAATGTTTCGATAAGAGATAGGAACTGAAAAATAAGAGAAATGATAAATTTATTATAAGGTCTTGCCAACAAACGTCGACAAAATCCCAGCGGATTGATGGTGACAAGGCCAGCTCCAACTCAACCGTGGATCAGGTGGGGGGCCCCTTCTGCAGAGCTGGCTCCTGCTTTCATTAATGCCTGCAGTAATTAAATCAGGAGCCTTCTTATTAAAACGTGAATAATAAACCCAGCTACGAGTCTTTTTTTTGCAGAGTGGGGTTTGAAATCGAAACGACTTTGTCGGGTTGCGTTAAGAGGGCTGAAAAAGGAACGGGCTGCAACCCAAAAGGGCAGTGGGAGCACAACACGGGGAGAAAAACGGGGTTGTGATAATGGGATAAGGAATTAGAAACTAGATACTTGCTCTCCAGAAAAGGATCCAGGGGATCTCCAGAAAAGGGTCTCCAGAAAAGGGATCCAAGCAGGTCGCCGGCCAACCAGGGGTTGGTTTCCGCTGTTGAGAAATGAGCAAATAACAGCAAAATAGCTTAAATTGGGGCATGCTGATTAAGACAACTGAAAAAGGCAGCAACCAACGGAGATCTAGAAGATGCAACCCATAACCAAAGCAGAGGAGAACCGAGGTAGTTTATTCCAGAAGAGGGAAACCTGCCCAGAAACATCGTAACTCTCGTCCTCTGGGATTCCCTTCTCCACTTACAATTTCTGAAGATTGCTGCTTCTCAGGGATCCTCGCAAACAGAGCCAGCCATTAAATGCATTTCAATTTCCTCAGCTCGTGCAAAATCCCCTTCAGCCTGTGCCTACCCCATCCTTAAAAGCCTCCGCCAGCCAGATCCCACGGCCTGGTGAAGCAAATCCCATTTTTATTTAGCAAACCGCCCGATTCTTGCGGCCGCTCTTTAAATATTTAAAAATCCTACAAGGAAAACACTCTTTGAGTGCTCGGTTTGCACTTCTGAGAGGAAAATTAGGCTCGCAGCAGAAAGTAAAAATAAATTGAGAAGGATGTAGCAAACTGAACACGGGTTTTGCAATCAATTTGGTACCTTTAGAGCACTGTTGGTGTGAAGATGAGGTAAATCAGAGTGTGATAGATGTATCCCAGCCTCTTCTTTTGCTTTGGGTTTGGGACTCTTGAAGGAAGCACCCAGGCTGCAGGGAGGGATCCTTGGATGCTCCAGGGGTCCTGCAGGATGGAAATCCCCCAGCAGCAGCGTTTTCAGACAAACGGCTTGGGAAAGAGAGGATATAATTAAGAGGAACACCGAGAGCGGTATGGGGAAATAGATCCATTTATTACGTGTAAGTAGAAGGATGAATAACTAACACCGTAATTACAGAGCAGGAAACAAGTGAGGAGACAGCATTCTGCAAAATAAATAAATAAAATAAAATATCTGAAAGCTTCGCTGGGGCGTAGAAGAAAGGGAAAACACTCGGAGTCCCTACTCCCATTTTTAAGGGGCTGCCACTGCCCCCCTTTCATTTTTTTAAATAGTTTTCTGCCGTTTTTTAAATAGTTTTGTGAAAGTAAATTGATTGCTGGAATAGAGTGAGCTGTGCTTTTCCCCACATCTCTTTAAATCTCACCTCCGTGCCCGTGTTTCTGAGGGATTGGGCATCCCCTGGGTGCTTCCCAGGGTTTCCTACTTCTTCTTCCAGTCTTAACTACATGGAAGTTCCTCGATTCACAGCTTTGCGTGACAGATGCTCCTTCCACCGCCCCTGTACACAGCCACGGAGGCCTTTGAAGCATCATTGCCCCCTTGCATCGCTCACGGAAACAGCCAAAATTCCCCATCACCGGGTACAACCCTCAGGGAGGGGATTTGGGGAAGGATTTCTGGCAGACCACTTAAACTCTGCACCTTCTTTACAAGAATTTGCCCCAACTCTTGATTATTTTTTTTTTTGGAGGGATGCATTACGAAGCCAACAACCAAAAATTTAGGGAAACGAGAGCCATGCAAGCTAAAACATTTCTTTTAGCTCACTGCCAGCTCCGAGTGACTCCCTGAAGAATATTTTTTTTTTACAGCACGGCTTAAAACCGCAGGATTCACATTAAAAAGAGCAGCCCAACAGGAGGTTAGGGGGCTGTTCTGTGGCTTGTAGACATGGGAAGCGCTCAAATGTTCTCCGTATGCACCAAAAGCAGCTCCAGCAGCATTTATCTTGCTCTGACGGTGGTGCAAGAAGCAGGAAAATGAACGTGCCACCATCAGCACGGGATGCAGGCGCGTGGCATCACTGCAAGCAGAAAGGCAGGCAACGTTTTTGGCTTTTTTTGAAAAAAATCAGCCTATTTTGTGCCTCTGCAGCGCAGCTGTTACCAAGGTACCTGAGCTCTGTCCCCTTGCTCTCGCGGTTCCTTGCTCCAGGGCGCAGCATCCAGGCAGGGCTCTGCTTTTGCTGTACTTACAAATCATTATCCGTGCACCTACGGAGAGCTGCTGACGCGCACCTGCTGGCAAGCCTGACCTCGGCGAGATGCTTTCAATTCATTAACGGGCCCAACAGCCAGCCTAATATTTTACAGGGAAAAAAAAAAATAAAAATAAAAATAAATAAAATAATAAAAACAACACAACACATTTCTTTCGACTTATGGCTGTCGAGCTTTCGGCACCTCTGACCCAAGCCACACGCGGGCTGAGTTTGTTTGCTGGCTTATTATGCTCCAACTCCCCCAATTTTTTTGTTCAGGCTCACGTTTTGCCAACATCACCCAAGCGAAGGAGCCGTTTCTGCTCCCAGAAGTTTTGGGGTTTTCTTCCAAGCCCCGCACTTGGCATGCTTATTTATGTAGGGTGCGGATATCCTGAATAAACCACAGCCGGCCCCAAAACCTGCCTGGCCCTGCCCTGCCTTCAGAGGGGCAGCTCCCCTTCGGCTGTATTATGAGCAAGTTTTTCCCACATTAACTAGATAATTTCAGCTCTGCGTGCGTATCTTTGTAACCGGCCAGATAATAACCTTTTGTCGCACTTGGGTAAGATTAGGACTGATTATTAGGCTACCGTTCAAAAATGCTGCATTTTGGGGGGTTCCTTTGTGCCTGGCAGAACATTTGGAGGGCAACTCGTTATTGTAGCTTGAATTCAATGAATGAAAAAGTGATTAAAAGTGATTTTTTTTTCCCCTCTCCTTTTTATTCCCAAAGATTATACCTCTCCCAACCCAACGCAACTCACAGCCAGGGCTAATTCTAATTAACGCTCCCATTAAGGAGGGCAGTCTCCGAGCCCGTGTTTTCCTGGAATCTCTGCAAGCGACAAGAAAACAGCACCACGGTTAAAATGTTCCAGCGAAGAGCACCATAAAATATAATAATAAAATAAATATGAAGCGAAAACAGCAAAAAAAGAGTTTAACTCGACAATTAAACCCGGTGTTTGCTGCTTGTTTCCATTTTCCCTTCCCCACCTCCTCCGCCGGAGCAAACAAATCCTGCGACTGCTGTTAATTAAAGATGTCTTTAACAACAAACGTGCCAAATCAGGCACTTTGCACATAGCGGGGCATGAACTCTATTCTTCGCAGGCAGCAAATTGCGCCACCCAATAAGTAGCATTAAAATGGTAATGCTGGCTAGCCGGGCCCTTAATTGGCTGAATCAGAGAGCCAGGAGCGTGCTTGTGCAATCAAGAGACCCCTGGCTGGCCTAAACGCTGAGTTTGAAACAGATGTCTTCAAAAGAAAAGGGGAGGGAGAAGCCGAGGGAAGGGAGTATGAAAGGGTTTTGCGACTAGGCTAATCTCAGCCTCTGTATGCATAACATGCAGAAAGAAAATCTTCTCCCCCAAAAGCTGCTTTGAAGTCTTTTGACCTGGCCGGCGGATCACAGGTGGCAGCTTCTGCAGGCGCCCTTCTGCTAGGGCAAGCTACGTTCACAGCCAAATCTTTTCAACCTTTTTCTGGCTGTAGAGCTGATAACGCATGTTAAGTTTCGCTGCTCGTATCAAAGAATAATTTTCCCAAATGACTCCCATCAGAAAAACTTCTCCTATCTACACATCAATTTCAGAAGTTAACTGGACCTGGCAATTTAGCTCGTGAGGAGTCTTGTGTTTCTTCCTCACATCCCCAAAATAAAACCTTTTTCTTTTTTTGCCTTCCCAGTGGAAGAAAGCCAGATTGCAGCGTTGGATGTGGGAGATAGGCAGTAGACGGAAAACAAAAAGAGGAGCAGAAACCTTTCGTGGTGAAGAGAAAAACGTTCGCGGAACACCAGCTTCAAGGAAAAAATTGCCAAATCTGATGCTATCCGTGAGTGCTGAGCAAACCATCCACGAGCTCCATGGGTTGGGGAACAACAGCTCCTGTTGGGGATAAAAAAAGCACAGTCATTGGAGTCGTTCAGAGCAAAAAAGCTTCGAGTACAGTACTCGAAAAAAAGCTCTCGAAGACCTAAAGGTGTTACATTAGCACTTCTTAGCCCGATATTGCAGGAATGGTGGAGATTTGGGAGCAGAAGGATGGTCATGGGTTGGTTTTTCTCTTGCTAATTCAGACTGAGCTGCCCACGGAGCTGAAAATCGGCTGGTTCTTGAGTGCAAGCGACCGGGCCTTGATGACATTTATTATGGGAAGGGGACGGGTAGGCTAAGCCATAATTACACGTACGCAGAGCTTTGAAAGGGCCAATTTCAGAGCTCAAAACAATTATAAGCCAAATCAGCGAAGAGAAAGAGGACGTACGGAGTAAGCAGCCTCTATTATCTTATCCATTTATTTCATAAAAACTGGATGCCCGACAAATCAGTTTCTAACAGAAGGGGGAAAACAACACCGTCATGAAACCGAAATAGAGATGCCAGCCTTCCTTAAAGGGAAGGCAACTAAAGCAAGCATTTTTTTTGTTAATTATCATTTAAAAACTCAAGGGGAAGCTAATGGTAATTAATATGTGACAGAATCTCGGAACTGTAGAGCGCAGATAAGGGAAGCGGAAGGACAATAAAAAGAAGTCTGTGATCGATGTAATTGAAACAATCTGGGATGTTATTCTTTTCCAAGACACCACCTACATCTTCCTAGCAAATGAATCCATTTAGTGGATTTATCCGTATTAGGATAGCCCATTACTGAACACGAGTGGTAGAATTGATAATAGAAGGCGGCGGCGGTGTTCAACAAATGCTCGCATCCCGCACCTGGGAACGAGCCAGCAGACATCTGGCTATCAGAGGGTGAAATACGCAGCATCATCACGAGTATTTTTGGAATGGAGAAACATCAGCTATGAGAGATGACACCGTATTACCCTAATTTCATCTTTTATTAACGCCCGTCAGCAGGAGTTGGGAGAAACTAGGGTTTGTTTGGAAAGTACCTCGCCAGCAGGTCTGTTTGGAGGTGACGGCAGCCTCCGAAAACGTTTCATTTTGTAGCCTGCGATGGCTGATTAGGCGAGGAGTACAACGTACACACGAAAAAAAATCAGTTTAGGTCAGGCTAAATGGATATTTCTCCCCAGCCCTCTGCCGAGACGTGGAGATCCGCTGCCTGGTGATGGATACCTTCATTTTGCCCAAAAACGCCCGCATTCATCTCGATACCGGTTCTTGCCTCCCTCAAGGAGAGCCAAAATCGGGAAGGGTTTTGAAAGCTCGGAGATGCTTTTCTGCCTTCCTCACCTAGCAGGTGTATTTATGGCGTAATCCAAAGGAATAATTACTCCAAATGGTGGAACATCTCTCCCCGCCATCAGCGTGACTGCGGGGAGCTACGATCGATGCTGAAAAATCTACATCCTGGTATTTATCACGGGACAGCCCATTGAGCACCGAAAAAAAAACACAAAACTGTGTTTCCCACCTTCCTACCTCATTTCCAAGGTGGAGCTGGGTTTGCATTGGAAATCTGACGGCGTCTTCTCCCCAATAAATGGCTTTTTAGATTATTAAGAGCCAAAGCGCGATACCGGGATCGACTCCAGCCTCTGAAAAACGCAAAGAAAGCTATGAAAGTGTTTACAGTAACAGGGAAACCTTTGGAAATCAGTAATTGCTCTATTTGTTTTTCTGCGTGCGCCCGGCCGATACCAGCCAGGGGAAGCTTAATCACAAGTCGCTCTCTTTATTTGCAAATTATCAGCGCTCCTCAGCGCCGGGGGTTCCTGCAGGAAAGAGGTTTGTCTGCCCCAATTAGAAATCCCCCAAGAACGCTCATTTCCAGACCGGCTGCATCAAATATTAATTACTGGCGTTCGGAGTAAATGAACAGAAGCTCGTAAATTTACAAATTCAATTACCACGAGCCGTCGGATGATTTTTTTTTTCTTTTTTTTTTTTATTTTATTTTATTTAATTGCTATGGATTGCCCCTTTCGACACGGCGATGAAATTAATAGAAGACGCTGGGAATCGATAGCTACCGATTCATCGATTCGGAGCGGTGCTTACGAAGACTCTTTAACCTCCCCGAAATCGTTATTTATTATCTTATAAAGCAAGAGGCGAAGAGATGCAGGGCATAGTTGGGAGCACCTCGAAGGTGCCTGGCTGCTATACCAAGCTCAAGGTGTGGCAGTGTGGGATTTTGCATATAGAGAGAGTAGCTCACCCTTGAAGGTTATTAAGGTGATTATCCTCCTCGTTAATATTTGAGCAAGCTCTTCTCACCGGCGGAGCAAACAGCCATCCTTCATGGGTGATCTGCTTTATTTATTCAACGAGGGATGTTAAAAACACGAAATTTCAGCCCAGATTACCTGGTGGGTGCCTCTGGAAAACGTGTGGTGTTTCTGTATTTCAACATTTGCACGTGTGCACAAGACACAAGCCATGCCCACAGACCCGACCACAACCTGCTGATTTTGCCGTTCAGCATCGTGCTGGACCCTGGGGAAGCCTGAGATGGCCACGGCCACCTGTGGCACCGTGGGACATACCTCTGAGAGCAGCCACCCCGCAAAATCCAGCTGTGAGCCCAAATTTAGCTTTCGGAGCAGCTGCAGATGTCCCGGAGGGAGATGCGAGCCTTCCGGCAGCCCCCATGCTGCAGGGCAAAGTCATCAGATGAATTCGGAGAGCTTGGGAATCAGCTCTTGGGAAACATCATTTCTGGTTTTATTATTACGTAGAGATTGCGGCGAAGTCAAGTTGTCACACGCATCCTGAAGGTTTTTCATAGCTTTATGGCACCGGGTTAGGGATGAAAATGTCCCACAGGTGCGGGGAGGAGCACGGTGCTTCAGGCCAGGTACCCCCCGTGTGGATTTGAGATGGCCACAACAGGTCCTGAGTGCTGAGACCCTGCTCTCAGAGGTTTTTTGGTCCCCACACTCCCTGTGGGGTCAGATATCTGAGCCACCAGCATCGTGGCACCCCCCTTTTGTGCCTAAATCCTTTTTGGGCATCATCCCAGTACTTGCCCAAAGTGCTTCTCGTTTTCATTCACAAGAGAAACTCGGGAGCCTGCGGAGATCCAGCACGAATGTTACATTTCTCAGCCCCTCTCTTCCTCCTAACAGCACCGAGGAATCAGTAAATATTTGTACAGCACCTTAAAAATGCAAAAACACCACTTTAATGCTAACCACCATCATACCCAAAGATGAGCGTTGAAACTGCTACATTATTCCTGAAAATTGGTCTTTTTTTTCCTATTTCAGATGTTAAAAACGCTTGTTCCTTCAGCAATTTAAAGCATTTTTTTTAAACGTTTGTATCATAATGGAGTGCTTGCCTATTTTTTGATCTTGATCTCCTTCTTCATCTCAGCTGGCTTTATTACAGCACAACAGAGTGAGAGAGAATTGCAATACAAAGTAATTCACCAAAAAAAAAAATATGATTATACCACCAACGAGAAAGCACGCGCTGCCTTCACCCCCTAGGCAAAATTTCTACACGCTCAGAGGGACAGAAGAGTTAAATTTAAGACGCATGACCTTGAAGCTAACATCTCTTGCCCAGAATACTTTAAAAGGGGAGGTTTATCCATCCTCGCAAGCGTTTACAAGTCTAGTTCATGGCACTGGGCATGAGCCTCTAAAAATAGCATTATGACATCCACCACAAGGTGAACACGAGTCTAAAATGGTTCTTGTTCAAAGCAGATCATGATCAGTTTAGGGCCTTATCCTATAAAAACACTCGGGTTAAGCCTGAAAGTAAAGCCAAAAATTTAACTAAAGTTTTCTAAAAAGTCTCTAAAGCTTTGAGAAATTGGATCTGACAATGGGGGGCTGGTGTGTGGTCACGAATGCCAAACCTTGCCTCGTTGACCCAAAAATGTGCCAGAGGATGGAGGAGCAGCTGCGACCGTCGGGGTGATGGAGCCAGGAGGGCGAAGCAGCTGCGGCAGGGACAGCAGGGAAGCAGGGGCTGGCGTGGCCAAATCCAAGAAGCTTTCAGCTAAGGAGAAAGCACAGAAACAAAGCATCTGGGCTGGGGCATCCCAAAAAAATGGTCTCGCTGCACAACGCTGGGGCACCACACGTCCCACCTCCTTGCTCACCTCACCTCTGTCACCACTCTGAAGACCCATATTCTAAAACGAATCTTATTTGGGTTATTTTCTCCTTTTTTTTTTTCTTGACTATCGTGAAGCAATCTGGCTACACGCCGAGTTTTCCGAGTGACGGAAGGATTTACAAATCTATTTAAGGATTACATATATATATTTATACACACACACACATTATACGTGGAAAAAAAAACTCATGCAGCACCATACAGTCTGCTCTGAAGAAAAAAATTAACTCCAACCCAACCAGGCCTGATCCAACACCATATATACAGGCACATTATACACATATAGTGCTATAATTTATATATTTTAGATATTTTAGAGCAGATGTAAGACGGAGCAGCATCTGGCACCGAGCGGCGCTGAGATGATTTCGACAGGCAGCGCGGGTAAATAAGGGCCCAAACCCTTCGAAATGATACCAAAATAGCTTTTAATTGGAAAAATAAAAAGCTCAGCATGCGGAAGTTCAAGGAGAGGAGAGCAGAGTGCTCCTTAGGCAGGGGTAGCAAGGAGAAGGTGAGATCCAGCTTCATCTCCACTGCCTGCTGAGGGGAGGACAGCACCCACCCAGTCAGGAGCGCTCTCCATCAGAGCTGCCACGGCTCAGCGCCACTTCCAGAGCCTTGGAGAGCTCACCAGCTTGGCGACCAGCACCCTTTTCCGCAAGCCAAGTGCTCAATTAGTAGCTATAGATTTCCAATGAATTTTCCTGAGCCTCCAGGAGTGACTGAAAGCCACCTCTTGCGCGCTAGCCGCATTGCGGAGCTTCTCGGAGAGGCCAAGCCCCCTCCAGATAACAAAGGAGCTGGCGTGGAAAGTTAAAAGACTGATTCCCCTCCTGGTAAAACACGTTTGTGGGCGAGATGTGCTTCCCCAGGGGCACTAACACCACCTGAGACAGCCATCCCCAAAAAAAACATCCGTTCTGTTCCCTTTTCACAGCCCCACGCTGCTCATGGCCGTCCCCAGCAGATCTTCGCCCCCAAATCCACCTTCTGCTGCCCTCCAGCACCTCCCCAAACCCCAAAACCACACCAGCAGAGCCCCAGCAACACCTTATCGCCGACCTTTTTCACTCTACATCCTCAAAGCTGCTCGAGGTTAAAAACAAGGGACGCTTAACGCTGATGGGTGCACGCGTGCGGTTGGGGTTGGGCTCACTCCCCCTAAAAAATAAAAAATAAAATAATAAAGACAGACAGTAAAATATGTAGTGATAAGCACAAGTTTGTCCACGTCTCCCACAGTTATTAAGGGATATAAAAAGAGAGAGATGTTTCCAGGCTGAAGCACGGTTTATCGCTGTCTGTTACGTGGCGGACTTGCAGTGCTCCCATTTATGGCGTTTTCTCCCTTTTTATTAAATACCCCGAAGACAGGATTATTAGTTTCCTCACAGCTTTTATGCCGTGCTCGTGGCTACACTACCCGAGTTCTTCACGGATATTATTTGGTTTTACAGCAGCCAAGGAGGCTGGAGGCTGTTAAGAGCTCAGCTTCACCAAGGAGGGAGATGAAGCTGAACGAAATCCCCGTTATTTCGGGGTGTAGCCCGAGCTGGGAGATGATTTTTTGAAATATCCCGAGGTGGCCCCGCAGAGCCGGGGATTTCACCCCGCTGCGTGCTGCGGAGACACCCAGGCAGCTGGGGAGCAGCTTTCTGCTCCTGACATCCCCACGTTTATTTCTCAGCCAGCGGAGAGAAGCAGGCACTCGTAGGGAGTGATTCATTTGACCCTTTCTGGATGGTCTGCTATTATATTAACAAGCTCTCCGCCGGCTCTGAAGGGACCCTGGGGAACCCTATAGATTTCTGCCGCTAGTGCCATGATCTACACCAGGGGTAGGCAGCCTAACTAGCAGCCTGGACGATTTATAAGCCGCCAAAAAGCGACGGATCACGGTCTAGGGATGCCTGCTTCGCTCTGTTTCAGAGGGAGACCGCACAGCAAAATTTTAGGGGGCTAGGAGGAGCGGAGGAGACAAGCCAAAAGCTTTCATCCCGTTGTTTTCGAGCAAGAAGCCACCTTCGTCCTCTGGAAAACACCAGCTCCTGGGTGAGACGGCGGCAGAATCAGGCTCCTGGCTCTCAATGAAACCTTCAGAGGCTCCAGCTGCCGAATCCTCCTGCGTTAGCACGTCAGATCTCCGGGGAAAGCTCTGTACCTACACCCAAAAGACAAGCAACAAAGCGTATTTGCTCTAAGGCGCACAGAAACAAAACCCTAATAATAATCTGCAGCTGGTCACTTATCAGACTGGTTATTTTTTCCCCCCCAAAAAAGGACGATTCTCCAAAGCCTAAGTCACTCCTGCTTAAATAGTCATTAAACTCCAGTCTGCAGCACATTAGGCTGAAGAGTTCTGGCAATCAGCTGAAGATTGATGAAATTACATGCAATTACAATACGATTTTTGTAGAACGAACCAGTGAGTTCATCTCATGAGTAATCTCAACCGTACGCCGCTCAAGTCATTCTCTCCTCCTGAACTCGCTGCCCTCGCATTAAAAAGAAGACAAAACAGTAAAACTTTGATATATCGATGACAGCCAAACATTTTGCCTTTTAGCTCCTGCAGGCAGGAGGAAATCTTGCCTTTGGCTCATTCCTGCTTGCTCCAAGCTTCCCCCTACCACGATGCAAACCCGCGCTGGCCAGGACCTTCTGCCGACTGCACACTTGAGTTGGACTAAAAATAAGAGAGATCATTAAAAAAAGGAGGCCTTGCCTAACGTTTGCCCTCATTAAGACAACCCGAGGACTGAAAACTGTCACATATTCATTCCCTGTCCTTTGTTTGGGAAGGAATTTCACAGATGGGCTCACAAAACGTGGGAGGTAACAGGGTGACTCGGTGGCACGAGCAAATAGGAAACCCTAAATCATTTTTGCGCCTCGCAATGTATAAAACACACCTCCCGGCACGGGGAAGTGCTCAGAGCAAAGCTACAAAATGATTCATCGTTCGCTACGGGGAGCTCAGCACTAGATAAACATGTTTTGACTGCGGGATGACTACGGTGAACCCGCAGGTCAGCCACAGCTAGAGCTGGGGAAACCCCGCAATGAAATTCCACGAGTGCTCGCTCGGGTTTGTAAACAAAGACCTCTTCGGCTCTTCTCTGTGAATTTTCTTACCGAGTTTTCCTTTTTTAAACCCTCAGAGGAAGTCATTTCCCTTTTTTCCTTCCCCCTAGGAGGCTGTCCTCCTGTTCCCAAATGTTCGGGGTTGTCCCAAATGTTCCAGGTTGATACTCACCCCACAGGAAAATCCTTTCCATCACTGAAGCCCAGAAGCAAGCTCCAACACTGCTGTCCGATGCTCAGCCCCTTGCCAGCCCCAGAACGATTCCCTACGAGGACTCCATCCCACAAATCACATCTACGGGGCTTTGAACTCCTCTGAAAAATAATCAAGACTCGATATCGGGAATGAACATTGTTGGTTTTTTTTTTTGGATGCTCCTATTTCCTAGCATTCAAATGTCATCATCCCCTCACAAATTACAAAGGAGGTGCCCTGTGGCGAGCATCCCACTTCCTACAATTATTTGAGGCCGGCTGAGAGCTTATTTCAAACCATTTCGCCGCTCAGGTCGGCGCCACCTCATTTATCACGAGGGCCCTTCATTTTTAATGGGGGCCACAACTTCATCCTGAGCCCTCGTCAACGAGGCTGCAGGTGAAAGCCAACTGGGGACAAATTAGGGAAGGTGTTATTCCAAAATGCACACGCACGGACACAGCGGCAGCAGCTGCTCGGGGGGTGGATGTTTGCTCACGAGGAATTACAGAAAGTGGCTGTCGTCAACCTGTGAATTTGGAAGAAAAAAGAAAAAGAAATCAACCTCGTGTCAGCAAGAAACACGTGCTGCGGGGTCAATCAATGGCACACGCTTCCTCCACGTTAAAACCAATCCCAGAGAGGCTCAGCCTTCGGGAAAGAAGGAAATCCTTACCCATTAGAGCAAAGCAGGGACTTGGTTGTAGCATCCACGGCCGACGAGGCTGCGTGTTTGGAAATCGCTGCTCTGCGTTTCCTCACAACCTCAGCACGGATTTTTCAAAGCCCTTCTCCCAGGAGGCTGCGGATCAGATGTGGCATCCGACTTTCCGCGAGGTTTCTGCTTTCCTTCCCCCATTTTCCAGCTGGGTTAACTAGGCAGGAGGAGGTCAAGCACTTTACAGAAATTCATACAAAAAAGTGTCAGCGCCACAATCAAAAGCCAGGAGCCTCCAAACACCTGCTCTTTTGCTGTCACCATCCCCGGTGTTTCCTTAGTTTTAGGTTTATTTGCCTTCTGTTATCACCATACTTCGGTTTCTTAGTGCTCAGCAACTGTTTCCTCACTTCTTCCCGAGGCCCAAAATGGCATTTAGCACACAAGTCTCATGATCCTTACTGGTTCCGCATTGCCTTTACCTAATGAAGAGAAATAAATGAAAAATAAATGAGAAGTTTTCCTTGCAGAGGTGCGAGTGCCGTCGTACAGGATTTCTCCTTTCAGATTGGGATGAAACACCAAAAAAACCAGAAAGCAGTGCCTTTCAGATACGCCCTCAGAGGGACGAAAATTATAAAAAAAAATAAATAGCCACCAGCAACTCTACTTAATTCTTTAAACGGTAACAGAACTGTGCTGGGCCCAGGGAAGTAATGAACTGAAAGTGTGTCTAGACACAGAATGCTCCCCTGATTAGTATTAACTATTCACATTTAAGTAAAGACAAATAAAATGCTAAGCGCTGCCCCTCTACTGCGGCTTTGCCATCTACCTGCAAACGCTGTTCATCACTCACACGCTGTCTCACGGCTCATTTTAACAATAATTGCTTATCAGGCCGAAAGCAATCAGCAGAAGGCCCGATAATAGGGAGCACCGACAATAAGAGCACAATGAATTGGGTTTAAATAGGGCCTTTCCTTTCAAAGGAAACCCCTCATTTCTCCCCAGGCACTTCAGCGCCAGGCCCGCAGCTCGCAGCACGCTATTTTATGAGCTCGTAAAATAGTTCCCCTTGCTGGCTTTGCACTTTGCAAAGAAATTTGTCATCGGGACCTTTCTGGTCCACGGGGGCTGCAGCTGAAGGCCAGCTGGGCGCAAAGCAGATTTGGGAGGCAGGACCTAGCACAGATGAGGCAGCTTGGCCTGGGGCCGGCAGGGATGAGGCCCTGGGGATGCACCAGCCCCAAGCACAGCTTCTCATTCACACAAAGCTGTTATTTATTTATTTTTAACCCTCTCCTCTTGTGCTGATCCACAAGCGGTGACTTCAGCTGCTGGCTGGCACCCAGGGAGCAGCCAGCCCTGGATATGGGCTCCCTGCTGCTCCTTCTGCTTTGCTTGCATGCTCACAGCAGCACCGTGGTGAAGATCTCGGCTTCAAACCTCAGCCACCGTCCTGATGAACTCCACGAGAAGACACGAGGTAGCTTTTCAGAGGCTTCCCTCTGCTCACGTCACACCGCTTTCCTGCTGAATTGTTTCAAATCATTCTGTTTTAATAAAACGCACAGAGCCAATAGCACCCAGAGCAAAAATAAAAGACAGGGAGAAAAAGCAGAGGCTAAAATTTCTCTCAACAGGTCTCCAAACCATGGCATACACAAATACCAAGTTTCTTCTGCTTGTGATCCCTGATGCTCAGGGCACAGCTGCCCATCAGTGACCCAGAAATGTCATCTTTTCTCCACCACAGCCTTCCCAAAAATCCAACCCAGGAATATTTGCACACGCTTGGCCCATCGAGGCTTATCTGGAGGCTGCGGGGGAATTTCCATGTTATTTACAGTACTAAGCATCAGGGAAATCCCAGTTACAACCGGGAGCTGGCAGAAACCCACACTTACAACTACGTTCAGTGCTGCACAGGCACTGAATGCTGTTCAGAGACCAAGTTATCTCCTCGCTTCATAAATAGGAGCCACCCTCTCTACCACTAGCAATGGTGCTAAACTGGGAAGTTACAAAACAGACTGCTGGAAATGCCAAAAAGCTACTCGCTAAATGCTAGAGGCACACGAGTAGATGGTAAATGCTTACAGTCACCAGTAATAATCTCAGTGCATCATGAATATATTTGTTACACCGTGCATAAAAAAAAAAAAGAAAACAGTTCTTACTTCTTCATTATATCCCAGCAGCAAGGTAATGAATCCATTAGGGTATTATTATTTGGAAGACAAGTAATTGGCCACGTAAGCCTGCACTCTGCTATCCAAAACTATTGAGGGTGAACTTTTTCATAGTCCTTTGACATTTGTTTTTTTAAAGGGCCATAGAAATCCAAAACGCACAAAAATTGTGGTCTCAACTGATGATTTGAATAAACTATCATCAAATCGATATTGAATTCATCCCTCCGAAGATGCATTAGAGAAGATCATAGGTTGTGCTAGTAAATTCAGCTTTTAACCTTGGGGAGAGGCACACGACCTCACATCAATTCTGCAGTGTTATTCGGAGAGACAGTAACAAGATGAAACAAAATACCCTGTGGATTTAACTTACAATACAAACCCAATGTACCTTCGCGTGATCATATAGTGTTCCTCCCAAAAGAAAAAATTCAATATTCTGATAAAGTTATCTCATAAAAAAAAAGATGTATCACAGCCCAAAACTTTTTTTAGGCTTTAAAGCACGTACCAGGGAGTGGCTAGCCATTTTTTTCTATGCTCCTGAAAGCTGCAACCAAAAGAGAAGGTACATTTACCCGACGTGCTACAAGACAGAGCAAATTGTCCATGCTGTGCTCTCCAGTAGATGTTCTTCAGTTTATGCCAACAAGAATTGGTGTTTATTCCCGATGCACACCCCACGTAGCACAGGTGCCCTGGAACAACACCTGAAAAAAAGAAGGATCCTCTGGTAACAAAGGCTTCAACCACCAGGTTTAGGGACTTCAGATTCCAAAATACAGATTCCAACCCCCTTTGCCACCAGGGATTTGTGGCCAGGCATTGAGGAAGGTGCAGATTTTATCCACCGAGATGACCCAAGGGACAACAGATTTCTCTCGAAGCATCTTTAGATGGCTGCATTTTTTCGGGAAGCGCTCATTAGAGCCATAATAAGCAGAAAGCTCATCTGGCTATTAACCAAAAATAATTTAGCTCTGACTTGCTAAAATGTTTTTAAAAATTAACATAGGTTATTTATCTCAGAGATTTCTTTTTGAAGGCAAAGGAAAGTTCAAAACGCTTTTGTGGTTATTTAAGTGTTAAGTAACATGCTCAGTTTGGACACAATTAACATTCACTTCTTTAACAAAATAAACCCAAGCTTAAAAAATTTTGATTTAGAGGGATTCCAGACACATATTTCAACATCACAAATATTCAAAGGGAGCTTTACAAAACCCCAAAAATTGTTATTTTAAATCCACTTCCAGGCTTCAGAAGCAGCCTTTAAAACCCAAAGCACGGAACCACTGAGCCCAAACAACGAGTATAACCAGCATACGGCAGCAAACCCCCAAAGCACCCTTTTCTAACACCATTTTTGTGGAAAACACCGGGAAAGGAGACCACGACGAGGGGCGAGCGCCGCCTCTGAGGCGCGGTTACCTGGGGCGAAGGCCCCGCACACAGCATGGCGGCAGCGTGCCCATGGCCGCCCTTTGTGATTGAAATGAGAGCCAGGGCCTCCCGCCGGGCCTCCCCCTCCCCAGCCGGCCTTGATGAGGAGCACACGGCCCCGCTTTTATGAACACCTGTGTCTAAAGCCCACAAATAATTAGCTTAGCCTCCCTATTTCCCTCCAATAATGGTGTAATTTGCCATGCCTTTCAGCCCCGGGACAGCTGGTGCTATTGAAAAATCACCTCAGGATTAGGCCGTAACTCCCCGGCCTCCCTCTTTGGGGGCTTCTCACATCTCCATGGCAACACACTTAGGCTGCAGATTATCACCTCTAATGATAACTAGGAAAGTCTATCTTATTTTATTCCGTCATCATAAAATATAACGGGTGACAACTGCCAAGTAGCTGGGACATATCCTCACCTTGCCCAGGAGCTTGGTTTTTGGTGGTATTTCGCCAGTCCCTGTGTTTAAGTCCCTGTGTTTAAGGCTGGAAAGCAGCCGTGTGGCTTTGGGGGGCAGTCACCCCCAGTGGTACAGGGACAAGGGACAGTCACGGGGCTCCCTGAGCCATGTAATCCCTGCACAAAGCCCTCCGACAGGGTCCTGGGTGTCATTTGGTGCCATGCTGATGAAGGGAGCTGCGTGGCAAAGCCTCAGCTGCAACACATCGCAAGCATCCTCCTTAAAGAAAAGAAGCTCCTGTCCCTCTGTGCCTCCTGTCGAACAGAATTAGAGAAGAGGGAGGTGGCCCAAATCTCACCACGGTGTGAGGAAAGGTTAAGATTTACGTGAAAATGTAATTTTTCACCCCTTGGTTTGATGCTATAAGCAGGAAGGGTGAGAGCCAGAGAGGCTGCTGAGTAACCCAACACAGCTCAGCCACAACACTGAGCATCTCTCTACACCTTGGTGAGGGTTTACGTGTATGTTTGACCATGCTGTTCTCCCCCCCATGTTCACAGCCGCTGCCCAGGGTTTGGCCTGTGCAGCCACATCATCTGCACACCCAAAAAAAAAAGCACAACAGGGCACGGAGCAGATCTGAGCAGCGATGGGGACGTGGAGGGCAAAAGGGCAAGACATGCTCAGGCACGAAGGAGAAATAGAGAGATTATCAGGGAAGTCAGGTGCTTAAATTCATGTCACCCCCCCCGACCAGAGCTGACATGACAGTTGGTTCATGCAAGCCGGTGACCTTGGCCGCACTACAAGGGTGGTGTTTTCTCAGGGATGAAATGTCCCCGCATAATTTCCGTAGTGCATTGGGGTGAAATTGGTGAACAGACGGAGCTTCTCGTTTGTTTTCTTCCTTGTGTTTACATTGCTCATGCTCCCAGTGAGAACTGTTTTCAGTCAAAGGCTTTAGGGCCTGTCTCACCTCAGGAAAAAGCGGCTCTTTAGGAAAGCTGTCCTCGTGCCAGCATGGGGAGAATTCCCTCAGAGAGCTGCCCACGTGCAGCCAGGCAGCAGCACCACGATGGGGAGGCATTTATGGCCCCCCCCAGCACCCTTTGGACTCCCAGAGCCAATATATAGGGTGCTCTAAGTCACGCTTTGGAGCAAGACCACTGGTGTATCTCCTCAGCCTGGCATCCTACAGACACTGACCTTCCTCCTCCTCACTGGGCTCGGCCGGATCAAGTATCCTCCCACACTACAGTTGCAGTCTGGCCCTACTCCCTTCGGGTTATTATTAAGCCTGCCCACATCCCATAAAGACCACAGGAGTCATCCTCGTGAAGAGCTAAAAGAAACTCTCCACCGACTGTTAGCAAGCCAACACCTAGGATACACTGCTAAGCAGCTCTAGGTCTATTCACTAGACCGCAAACTATGAACTGATCGGCTTAAAGAGGGGTTTTGAAGTGGATTTTCTTCTCTCCCACTGCAAGACACGTAACAATCAATATTTGAAGAAATATGTTCCAAACACAAAATGTTTGAAAGCAGAGTTATAGAAAACACCTTAAAGCCAGCTCCAATCCGGAGCTCCAGGCCTGTTACTCATCCCCATTTCTTGGTGCTAGGAGGGTGAATCACAGGCAGCACTTGGCACTTCCCTTCAGAATTTGATAGATTTTATCTGCTTTTACAAAACTTGATAAGACCATTTAATTTGATTTTCCTTCTTATCTGATCGGCTCAGGAGGGCGTGAGCTTTCTCCTTGGGGGAGCTAAACGACCTCTTAGCAGGGCATCCTACAGCGTATTCCTGTGCCTCTTCCTCCACCTCAGCTCTTTGGGGCAGATTTGGTCTTTGGAGAAACCAAAGGAGGAGGGAGGAAGGTTAGAGGGAAAGCATCAGTCCAGATATGGCTGAGATAAAAAAGGAGGAGATGATGGATAGGAGAAGGACTTGGAGAAGAACCACTCAGCCTCAGTGAAGTCTGGGGCTTTGCTAGTGGTTTTAAGTGACCCTCAGCTACAAGAAAATGTGAAAAGCCATTTCTGTAAAAGCCAGAGTCCAATTCTAGATGAGCTTTTAGCTTAAAAAAGCTAAACCAGAAACACGCACGTACTCTTGCAGGCTGCCGGGAAAATATGCTTCAGAGAAATTGTGCCATGCCCAAACTCCATTTAGCTGTTAGCAGATATATCTAAAATACATACAATTAACAGGCTTGAGCATCTGGGAAGACCAAATGGCTTTAAAATATACTATATTGTTGCGACACTCATATCAAAAGCACTCTAAAATAAAATAGACCCTCCACAAGTCAACCTTTGAGCCAAAGCAGCGTCCCTAGTCTGGGAATCATAATGCCAATGCCGTGCTGCAACCCGGGAGGGAAAGACAGTGCAGTAAAGACATTTTGCAACTTTGAATATAAAATGCATATAGACAATACTATAAAATAGTATTCTTATAAATAAATACTTCAAAGAGTGAATTTCTGTAGATCCTGTTTCATTTTATAGTCACGCACTGCTTTAATCTGAAAATGATCTGAAAGTGAATCCTTTCCCTTAGGATGAATCTTAGGATGAATCTTCCCCTCTTCAGGTTTGAACCCCAAGGATATCTGCGTCCCAGGAAAGGCGGAGAAGAAGGATGTGGAGCTAAAGCCCCGGCGTTGACTTTCCGCAAGGCTTGCCTCCAGACCTAACAAACAAAAATGAACAAAAATTTACACGTGTCAAGAAAGGTGGAGGAGGCGATGAGCCGAGTTTGTGGCTCCCTCCCACGCCCAGCCTGAGCAGTCCTGTCACACAGGGGAAGGGAGGCAGATGGAGAGACAACAACACAAACTTGAACAGGGAAAAATAAATAAATAAATAAAAAATACAGCACTAAAAGCCCCTCCCTTCCTTCTCCTTCAAACCCAATCAGCTGGAGAATGGGTCCGGGTTATCTGTATTTACGTTTCACATGAGTTGTGGCAGAGAAACTGCCCCTAAGTTTATATTATGCCCAATTTAAGCACTCTGTTACCCAACAGATACACCGACAGCGGGTGTGTCGTCTGCTCTACATCAAATTATAACAAAACAAGTTAAGAGTGGCTTCAAATCACCTCATCTACTTGCCCTTGTGATGGTTAGGAATCCATCCTATTTCCTGGCGCACCAGTGGTTTGTCCTCAGTCCAGCTAAGACAACGCAGCCGTAGCCTCATGTCCAGGCATGGAAATGCTCAATTTCCCCTAAAATTTCTCCTGAAACTGTATGAGCAAGGAAGAATGAGGGAAACTTCATTAAAAATGGCCCGGCATTTGAGGTACTCTCCTAGGAAATGAGAGGAGGTTAAAATTCATCTTCCAGATCAGACGCTTGTATACTTAACGGTCGTCTAAAGACACATTTTTATCTCGCGTTCCTTCCTAATTTATTTATTTTTTCCTAAGCGTTTAATGAGTGTTAATTGATTTTCACACCACCCCAGCTCGCATCGCGGCGCTGCCACCTCCGCAGACCTCCGCCACCGCCGGGACCGAAGGCATCACCTGCACCGCTCTCCAGCGTGTGACCTTCCTGCTTTGAAGCCGTTCCCACCTTTCTCCGTGCCTAGAAACATTTTTTTACCAGCCAGTAATAACAGCCTCGTGCCATCGCTTGGCTCCGAGAGCTCAAAAAAACCTCAGCACACACCACGGGGAGATTGGAGGGTGACCCCGATGGTTCATTCCTACTTAGATATAGCTCACGTAAGCGACTGATTGTAGAGATCAATGCTCGTTCCTCGAACCAGGCGTTTTATTTGCTCTTCCCTATGCACCTGAGCCTGTTTCCTTCGCCTCCGCATGGCGCTGCCTGTTTTGGCAGCAAATCCTCCAAAAACCTCATCTCGCGTTGCCTGTGTATAAAACAACACACAGCACACAGATCACGGACTGTTAAAACTCCTGCTAATCCGACCCTAATGATATTCTTAGCTGCAGGTCCCTTATTAATGGCAGATTTGGAGGCTGGAACTTGTTTCCAAAGCAGCTTGTTGATTGCTGACCCAGGAACTAATGAGCCTACCTATTTATCACCCGTCCTGTTCTCATTTTTACCTGTATTTGCTCAGTTTTGCACTTTTCTGTGGGGAAAGTGGTACCCAGTGCCCCAAACAGCAGAGCTTCAGCCAGGCTCCAAGGTTTCTCCCCCGGTTCTCTGAGACCAGCCTGCTGTTTGACTTTGAACAACTAATTTCTCCTTTCTGTCTGCTTTTTTTATTTATTATTATTTTTTTTTCTCAGCTCTCTTTCTGTAAACAGGACAGATGGTTTAAACGGACTTTCAGAAAACCTTTGACAACTCCCTCATGAGATGCTATTAAGGAAGCTAAGTAGACATGGGGCGAAAGGTAAAGTATTGTCATAGAAACTAGCTAAAAGACAGAAACCACAGAGTACGAATACATGTTCAATTTTTTAATCTAACCAAAAGCTGCCAGCAGAACTCTCCTGATATGCTCTAAGAGGAAAAAAAATAAAAGAGTCTATTGGAAAAGCCAGATTCAAAATAAAATAAAATAAAACTTCGCGTGTTATTTGGCAAGAGGGTATTCTTGTGTGTCTGCATGCGTGTGTGTGTAGGTTTTGTGTTGTGTACTTTGGTGTTTGCCTCCTGAAAATCAGCAGGATGATTTACTGTAGGTCATAC